TTTTGGTTTTTCTCCGGTACCAGGAACCGAACTCACGACCTTGCGCTTGCCAGGCAGGCGCTTTTGCCGCTGAGCTAAATCCCCAGCCCCTACTAGGTCCATTTGTTCACAAGTTTGATTCAGTTCTTTCTTTGCTGATTTTTTACCTAGTTGATCTGTCTCTTTGGGACAATGGTGTGTTAAGGTCCCCTGTTACAACTGTTTTATTGCTTATTTGATTTTTCATGTCTATTACTACTTATATAGTTGGATGCTCCCATATTTGGTGCATATATATTTATGATTGTTATCTTTTCCTCTTGAAGTTTCCCCCTAAGAAGTATGTAGTGACCTTATTTCTCTCTTTTGATCATTCTTGGTTTGAAATTCACAGTCTGCAAACAGACTAGCTACCCCTGATTTTTTCTGGGTTCCTGTTACATGGAGTATTGCTTTCCATCCTTTGACTTTCAGTCTGTGAATTTCCTTTTGAGTTAAATGTGTTTCTTGTGTACAGCATATTGTTGAATTTTGTTTCTTGATCTACTCTGCCAGTCTGTTTCTTTTGATTGGTGAATTGAGGCCATTTACATTAATGATTATAACTGGTATGTACTGGCTTATCTTTGTCAGGTTATTTTCCTGTTGTTGGTTCCCTAGGTCTTAAAGTCTATCTTCCATTTCATTCAAGTGATTTTGCCAACTTTCAGTGGAATTTTTAATTTGTTTCATCCATTCTAACTCTTTCTTATATTTTTCAGTCAAGGTTTCCATCATTTCCCTATGCTCTTCTATTTTTTTTATCTACGTTTTCTTTAGATAAGCTGAACAATTCTTTCATTATAGTTGTCATTTCTTTTTTTACCTGAGAGACTACTTCTGCTCTGATTTTCTCTACAGCCTCATGGAATTTTCTTTACTTCAGTTCCTATCATTTTAAAAATTTCAGGTGTGTGACTTCAAATTTCTTCTATGTCAGCCTCTCTTGGACTTGTTCTGGGTGGGCTGGTGTTCTGAGATTGCATTTTCCTCTTTCATCTTATCATTTTCTATTTCAAAAATTTTTCTTCTTTTCTGTAATGATCCATGTGAGTTTTGGTAGTAGGTAGATGTATCACTATAATCAAGGCCTCTCTAGGAAAACTCTATCCTTCAGGGATATCTTCTGTGTGTAGGAGGTTCTTGGTTTGTGTGTTTCCCAAGAACCCACCTTCCCAATTAATTGAGCGTGGGATGTTGGTTTTTGTTTGACTCAGTCCCCAGTCTTTTGGTGTAGGGCCAGGGTGAGGTTATTACCCGAGTTTCCCAATATTGTTACATAAGGGAGAACAACTGATTACAACAGAAATGACATCCTAGCCACAGTAGTACAATTAGCTGTAATGATAGTATTAGGCACAATTTAGAAATTGACAAACTGTGGTATTGATTTTATACTTTAGACCATAGGAGCAAAGTCTATAGTTATATAACAGAACCAATCGTAAATTAGGAGTTTATATGCCAAGTGTTTCCCCTTGTTACAGTGGATTTAGCCTGTGATGTGGAAACTTCGAGAGGACAGTGTTTAAGATAAAGATAACTGGAAAGGAAGTAGAAGCAAGGCTGGAGGACAAAGGATGGTCATACAACGTTTGGGTAGCTGGAGGAAAGCAGGTAGAAAAGCAAGAATGAAGAGTCCTGGGCACTTCCTGCCTATCTAAGGTGTAGGAGGATGGGACAGGCACCTGGCTTCCTCCAGATGAGCCAGCTGCCAAGCCCTGGGTGCTTCCCATGCTGGCTGCCCATCCTGTGGTGTAAGGAGATGGGTGAGGCACTTGGGTTCCTCCAGCCGCGCTGGTTGCCAAGTCACCATAGGACTTTTAAGCTGGTGTGTCTGACTTAAACTGGTCTCATGGTGCATACATTTTCCTTCAAGCTTATCCTTTATGGCAGAATAGTACTCAGTTGTATAAAATAATTTGCTTTATCCATTCATCTGCTGGACATATAGGCTGTACAAGATTTAGTTATTATGAGTTGACTGCTCTAAACATAGATTTGCAGGTCTTTCTGTAATATGAGGTCTTTGTTCAGGAAAATACGTAGAAGAATAGTTGGATCAAATGGAATTTCTAATTTTACTTGTTTGAGGACTCTCCTTACTCATTTCCATAATGGTTGTGCTTGTCTGTATCCCCACTGACAATGCAAAAGTGTTTTCCCCTCACCGTCATGCCAGCATTTATCTGATTGCTTTGTTTTTGAGACAAGGTCTTCCTATGTAGTGCCAGCTGGCCTTGAACTCAGTTATCCTCCTGTCTCAAGCTTTCAAGTGTTGGAATTACAGGGGTGTACCACTACAACTGGCTGTTTTTTGGGATGGTCTTGCTATGCCGTTCAGGATGACCTTAAACTCTCCTTTATCCTCCTGCCTCAGCCTCCCAAGTGCTGGGATTATAGGCATGCACCACCACACCCAGCTCTGATTTATAATAACCATTCTTTCTGAAGATGGAATGTTTTAATTTCCATTTCTCTAAGGGCCAGCAGTGAGCACTTTTTTCTGTATTTATTGACCAGTTGTACCTTTCTGAGAAGTACCTATTCATTCCAGTTGGTCTTGATTGTCTTTTATGGGGGGGTGATTATTTTGAATTCTTTATATATTCTAGATATTAGTCCTGTCCAAGGTATAGGTGGCAAATGTTTCCCCATTCTATAGGTTGTCTCTTTACTCGTTTCTCTTAGAGTACAGAAGCATTTTAATTTGATACGATCCTATTTATTTCTTGTGCAACTGGGGTGCTGTTCAGAAAGTCCTTACCCATACCTATGACTTTGTCTTCCAGCAAGCTGTTATATTTAGGTCTTTTACCCACTTTTAGTTTAGTATGAGATGCAGGTCTAGACTCAGTCTTCTGCACGTGGATAGCCAGTTTTCCCAGCACTGTTTGCCTAAGAGGTTATCTTTGCTGTAGTGTTTTTGGCCCCTCTGTCCAAGATCAGATGACCAGATGTCCCTGGGTTCTGTGTCAGGCTCCACCAATCTGTTTTTTGCGCCAGTGCCGTGTGGTTTTTAATACTGTCATCTAGTTTTAAATTTCACTCTCACAAGGTACTCTCCCCTCTGGGCCAGAACCTGTGGCAAGAGAAGCAAAGGCCCATCGTAGCTCACCTGGGACAGATGTGCCCTGAACTACTCCTGTGCTTCTCTCAGGTGGGTTCCTCAGCCCAACTATGAGGATTTAGATTTACCAATGTCCCCCAGTCTCAGGTGGTCAGAGGGAGATCCTGGGAAGGTGACTGGATGATGGGGCAGATGAGTCAATAGCTGAATGTGCTCTTAGGACGTGGGGCCTGATTAAAGGTAGGTCGCTGGGAGCATGACCTAGAAGGGTGTATGCTTGTCCCAAGCTCCTCCCTCCTCTTCCTAGCTGCTATGGGGCAAACAGCTTTCTTCTACCATGTCATCTCTGCCTCGAAGCCAACCAACCATGGACCGAGTCCACCAAAACTGTGATCCAAAATAAACCTCTCCTTTAAACTGTACGGATCAGAGATGGGAAAGTGACTGACACACCAGCCCAATGGGGCCACCACGATGAGCTCAGTCATTTGCACTTGAAGATCCTCTCCTGGACTGGGGTTATAGCTCAGGGGTAGAAGGCTTGCCTAGCATGTGTGGGCTCTGGGTTTGATCCCCTGTAAAACACACACCCCCCCACACACCCCCATCCCCTTCTGGGCTAAATGAAGATGACACAGAAAATGACAAAGAGCTTTATTTTCAGGTCACTGCCCTGGTTTCATCAACTATTGCCAACAACCTGATGAAGTATTTGTGTCTTGATTCCTGAAATGCTCCACATGTCAGAAATGCAGCCGCTAAAGGACTAAACAAATAGCTTTTCTCTAAAGGCCAGTGGGCACTCCAGGAAGGTGGCCGGCCGCCCTGGCATCTCCATCCCGAGGGAAAGAGCCAGGCAGGAGGCTGACCCAGTCCTCTTGTCCTGTTGCTTTTTCCTCTTCCCTGGATCTCTCGGGGAACAAAGGAAGAAAATTCTGTTTTCCTATTCAAAATGGAAGGCCTTCAAATCAACCAAAGTTTCCAAAACAAAACACCCACATCCTTTCTCTTCATTCACTATCAAGATTTCTTTCACCTTTCACGTTAGAACTAGACAGGAAGAACGATCTGAACTAGAAAAGGGAAAAACCTACCCCTATGGAATCTGTGCCTCATATATCAGCCAGTGGGAGGAACAGTGACACCACCACCTCCTGGCCCACGCGCTCCTCGGCACCCGCCCCAGTCCAGTTCACGCCTGAGGAATCACAGTCCCCGTGGCCTGAGATCGTGAGGAAGGGCCCTGGGGACTTAGGACGGGAGCTGCTGCAGCTCCTTGGGTGGCAGCTGGGGCTGACACTGCGGGCACCACCACGTAAGCCTCTGGAGGCCGCCAGGGGGCCCAAATGCCTCCCTCAGGACCTGGTGTCCAGCTGGACACTGTTCCTTCTGGTAGACCTGCGTGTGCTGCCGCTGGCCCTGGATCTTGCCCCGGAGCCAGTCTGCACTGAACTCCACCACGTGATCCACGAGGGTCTCCAGACACGAGGGACTCAGGAGTGAGCCAAGGGAGAGAGGATGGATCCTGGCTCTGTACAAAGCTTCATTCTTAATGATGTTTCCTGAAAAAAAGCCAGGAAGCGAGAGGGAAGGAAAGTGTGCACTCAGGGTAACGAAACCATCAAACAGTGAACAGCAGCTGGGTGTGGTGGCGCACACTTCTAATCCCAGCACTTGGGAGGCTGAGGCAGGAGGATCGCTGTGAGTTCGAGACCAGCCTGGGCTACAAAGTGAGCCAAGCTCAGCTTGAACTGGACAGCAAGACCCTGTCTCAAAAAGGAAAAAAAAAAAAGTTAACAGCAAACTGGGGTTGGCCAGATGGTGGCAGGAGGACGCCGAGGAGGCCCCGGCTCTGTCACCTGCCAGGGCTCCTGGGCAGGGCAGGGCCGCGCTGATTCTCTGTAAAGTGGCCTTGAAGGCTGTTGTGAGGATGAAATGAATGACTGCTTCCACACAGCTCAGGTCATGGCACAGAGGATCTACAGGGCTGTGATGACTGAGTCCCCGGACTGGAACCCCAGCTCGGCCTCAAGTCCCACTACGCGGCCTGGCGAGTCCCTGAGCCTCTGTAGGCATCAGCATCCTCAACTCTAAGACAGGGACCCCTCTGGTTTCTGCAAGCACTGAACAAGAATTCACCAAATATGCTGCGATGCTGGCGGGCACCAACAGAACTCTTTTTTTTTTTTGAGACAGGATCTTGCCATGTATTTCAGGCTAGCATTGAACTCATTATATAGCCCAGGCTGGCCTCAAACCCATTATGATCCTTCTGCCTCAGCCTCCTAAATGCTGGGATTACAGGTATGAACCACCACACCCAGAACCAAGACAACTCAATAAATACGAACTGCCATGGAAAATGGCAGGCGTGCTGCCTGTGCCATAGCAGGAGGTATTACTAGCCCACACCGGCCGCATTCTTTGTGGCGGCAGCCCTGCCTCCTTGCTCCAGACTCGGTACCTGTACAAAACATTCCACCAGTGTTCCTTCTCTACCTTTTACTGGGCACTTTCACAACCTCCTGCAGCCTACGGAGCACTGATCCAGCTCCTGCCATTGCACAACGGCCTCCTGAAGGAGAGAAGGTGAGACTGCTGGAGGCCGAGTGTCTGGCAGCTGCTGGGAATGGATGAATGAAATGACTGCTCCCTGCACGCGTCCCATGAACATACTCATTACACACAAGATCTCTCTGCAAAATCCAGACAGGCCCCCTGGGTTCATCTCAGCTGCAGCAGTTTCGCACTGACCTGACCTCTAAGTTAAGGGCAGCTGACAAGCAGTTATCCTACAAACAGGACAGCCCTGGAGTCTGACGGTGCGTCGGGAACACCGGCCACTGGCCAAGGTCACGGTGCCCTTAGCACCCAGTGCTCAGAAGGCCCTCATCCTCGAGCACAAGGGCTCTGGAGCTCTCAGGTGGAAATGCACAGTGCCTGCGCAGAGAGCCAGGAATCACGGGACAGGCCAGCTGGCCGTGCAGCCAGCACACCTTGCATCTGCCGGGATTTTGTCCCCACCAGGTCACCCTACCGCTTCAGGTGTTAATTCTGGATGCACATGTTGCTCCATGTGGCAGCACAAAGAAGGGCTTTTTTCTTCAGTGCTGGGGACTGAACCCAGGGCCTCTGCAATGAGCTACACATCCAGGCCCTTCTTCATTATTTTCAGACAGGGTCTCAGGTCTCATAAGTCACTCAGTTGCCCAGGTTAGGCTTCAGCTTGCAATCCCCTGCTCAGCCTGCCAAACTGCCGGGATTCCAAGGTGCGCAGCACCATTCTGTTTCACTCCCAAGGTAGGCCTGCTGCCTGCGTGTGTTCACAGCAGCATCCACTGGCAAAGACGTGGCTCTCTGGCGGTGAGCAGCAGGACTCCCCTTCCCAGGAGAGCCTGGCTCCACATCACCTGTGTGCAGGGCACTGCACCAGCCTGTGGAGGATTCCAGGGGGAGTCCACCAAGCCCCTCATGCCGTGGACAGGAGTGGAGCTCGAAGGCAGCTGTAGGGTTTCGGATGGAAACAGGAGGAACTCTGAAGCTGAGAAGTCAGGAAATGCCCAATTTACCTCAATTTAAAATATGAAAGAAACTAGCTGGGTGTGGTGGTGCATACCTATAATCCCAGGGGAGGCTGAGGCAGGAGGATCACAAATTCAAAGCCAGCCTAGGCAATTCAGAGACCCTTCCTCAAAAATAAAAGGTGCTGGGGATACAGCTTAGTATTCTCTGGGTTCAATCCCCAGTACCACTGAATAAACAGATTAACACTTTTTATACAAGGAAGCCAAAGGGATTGATTGGATGGCAGCCTCAAGGCCAGCAGCATCAGCACACGGGGGCTAAGGCCAGGTCATCGGGTCTTGAGATCCCGGATGAGTGAGTTTTCCATCAGCAGCTCTGTGGGGTCCTCCCTCCCCACGGCTCCTACCTAACCCTGAGAAGTATCGCTGGTCCAGGAGTGTGTAGCACACGGGCTGCGGCTGACCCAGAGCCTCCAAGGCCTGTCCTCGGTGGAACTCTTCGGACAAGATGTCACAGCGAGGCTCGATCGCTGGGGCAGGGCTCCATGACATCTGGCAATTATAAAATGCCAGGAATCCACCACTGCCAAAGTGCAGGACCAGCCTGGGGAGAAGGGAGAGACCACACGGACAGACAGTTGTCACCTGACAGGCAGAGCACATGCACACACAGCGTGTGTGGGTCGTGCCAGGTCCAGCTCCCGCAGCCGCGTTTGGGTTACTCTGGGAAGCTAAGGTCCCCAAAGAGAAGAGGGATGGCTTTGTCAAAATGAAAATCTCAGTGGAGCAACCATTTGGCTAAATGGAGCGACCAAAAGAACACACATTTACATATGTCATTTACTTTCCCCGATTATAGGAAAACATGTTTACAGAAGGAAACCGGCCCAGGGTAGCCACGTCTCAAGTTCAGGGGGCGTGGCCAAATACAGGACATGGGGGTCACCGGTGCGGGAGGGAAACTGTGCAAAGGACAAGGCACCCCAGCCTCAGGCTAGGTTCACCTGTAAGACACACGAGGACGCCTACTCCCGAGCCAGACAGGCCAAGGACAGCAGAAAGCTCCCCAACTGCGACGGAGGAACAGTGTGGACTTGGCAAGGGTGGCTCATCTGACAGGAGCCGCCTCCACATCTGGAGGAGAAGCCCGGACGCTGCAGCTACCAGAGCTGCCGCTCCACCAAGACCTCAGCACAAGCAGCAGCTGGGGTGGAAGGGCAGGAAAGAGCAGCAAATGGCAACAGTTAAAGACTTCTTAGAAGCGGGAGAGTGAGCACGAGTTGAATTTGATGTCATTAAGAAATCTCATTTGGCCAGGCATGGTGGCGCACGCCTGTAATCCTGGCACTCGGGAGGCTGAGGCAAGAGGGTCATTGTGAGTTCAAGGCCAGCCTGAGCTACAAAGTGAGTTCAAGACCAGCCTGAACTGCATAGCAAGACCCTGTCTCAAAAAAAAAGAAATCTCATTTGGCCCAGCTATTCCCCTTCTGGGTATCTTTCCCAAAGAGTTAAAGACATCATATTACAGTGATACCTGCATCCCATGTTTATAACAGCACAATTCATAGTAGTTAAATCATAGAAGCAGCCTATACCTCATAAATAGAGAGAAGCCAGGCGTGGGGGCACGTGCCTGTAATCCCAGCACTCAGAAGGCCGAGGCAGGAGGACTGCTGCGAGTTCAAGGCCAGCCTGAGCTACAAAGTGTGCTGAAGGACAGCCTGAACTGCATGGTGAGACTGTCTCAAAATGACAAAATAAACAGACAGAGGAGTGGATAAAGAAAATGTAGTTTTACACACAACAAAGCACTACTCTACCATAAAGGAGAAACGAGAGTCATCTGTAGAGAAATGGATGCATGTTGAGACCATACTGTTAAGTGAAATAAATCAGACACAGGCTTTACCAGCGCATGGTTTCTCTTATATGAAAAACGCAAGTTCTGCATAAAGAGCAAAATAAACGGTGGATAACGGGAAGTAGGAGATCGTTCTCAAGGGAAAGGGGATCAAGAAATGGCAGGAGTGAGGAGGGAGGGAAAGGTCATGAAAGGTGCGCATCACGAAGACGCCGGCAGCTACCCCTCTACCTGGGCACCGGATCTCGCCAGTCTCCTCTCTTGTTGGCGTTCTTTGCTCTGGAGAACTCGTTCACCCAGACGCTACCAAACAAACCGAAGTGGACCTGCAGCCACCGCTGGGCCCCTGCTGTAGGGCTGTCCCCCACCAGGCCACCAGGGCCCCTGGGAAGCAGCTCTGAGGACCGGGACGATCCATCACCAGTTTTCTGTTCACTGGGCTCTGGCGCTGGGTCCACAGCCGCCTCTCTCCGTGCTCGTTTCTGCAGAGGCTCCGGTGGCTGGCTGCTGCCGGGGGCCCCTGCCTCTTCATCTGCATCTGCACCCACAACTGCATCGAATCTAAGGAACAACTTCTTTCCATGTACCTAGGGAAATACCGACAGGAGACTAAGTCAGCCAGACTCCGGCGGGCCAAGGGCCGCGCAGACAGATGGGCTGCTGCTCCCTTCTCCTGGGCCGAAGCAGCCCCGGCCTGCGGATCTGGGCCCTGCTCTTGCTCATCTGCTGCAGTGGCGTGGACACTCGGTGCAGGGCTTCTGCAGTGACTGGAAGCAACTGGAGGAATTCGATCAGCAACGAGACCTGCGCCAGACAGATGGCCACCCCAGCATACACGGGCAACTGCTCCCAAAGTCTTCAGGGATTAGCCAAGAAATAAACCTGAGTTGTCGTTCATTTGTTCAACTTATGGTACATTTTTCTATGCTAACATGAATCAGCTCAAGCACACACATGCAAACTGACTGCAGTTAAACACATCTCAGGGGAGCTGCCTCCCACCCAGTCCTCCAGAAAATGTGTTGACAAAAGCCATAGGCATCTAAAACAACAACAAAAAAACAACAGAAAAAGGGGGCTGGGTGTGGTAGCTCAGGCTTGTAATCCCAGCACTCAGGAGGCTGAGGCAAGAGGATTGTTGCGAGTTTGAGACCAGCCTGGGCTACAAAGTGAGCTCAAGGTCAGCCTGAACTGCATAGCGAGACCCTGTCTCAAAAAACAAAAACAAAACAAAAAAGCCATAGGCACAAGAGAACTCACAATCAAGCACAACCTCTGCCCAGTGACACTGAGGGCCAGCTCTGTGACAGGCACTGTGACAGACACTGGGGTCAAGAGACAACAAGGGGGCTAACCCTGCCTCTGCAGATCTGAGCCTGGAGGCCAGGAGACCAGGCTCCTAAACGTGGAGTCCTCTGAGCCTCAAGTTTCCAAATGTGTCAACTATGGCCAAGGTCAGCGAGACTTGCGCAGTAGTAACAGAGAATGGTTTCACATCTACAGAGGGGTGCAGGGCAAGGTGGAAGAGAAGCAGCAGGAACTGTGTCAGGGATAAGGTCTACCGCCCACAGTGTTTGCAACAGGTGGGCATCGAAGAAGCAAGGCCAAGCAACTGCACACAGCGAAGCAGCAGCACAGCCCACTGAGTCAATGTGCAAACATGCACCTCGGGCCTCCCCCATTCCAGGTGCTCAGTAAAGCACCAGGGACACAAGGCTGGCGAGGACATTGCCACTCCCTGTTTGTCATCTGCTCCACTCAGCTCGGCCAGCAGGACAGATTCAACAGGAAGGACGCATCAGGGGGCCGAGGTGCGTCCTGGAAGCACAGGATGAAGCTGGCTGGGCAGCTTCTCAGAGGACCGGGTGCCCAAGCAGAATCCAGAGATAGATTAGGAACTGCCACAAAAACCCAAGGGGCAGGGCAGACCCGCCCACACACGGAGCAGCAGGTGGGCGCTGCGGTAAGACCACCTGGGCTGCGGGTGACTGGAGCTGGGCACAGAAGCTAGAGAGGCAGAGCGCCCCGGGTCCCCGGAAGGGTGACAATGAGATCTGCAGCGCTGCTCTTTCTTACTTCCCCTGGTCTAGGGTCAAACATGGCCCATGGCCCAAGGTGCCCGTGACACACAGCGGGGGCCGTCAGGATCGCAGCAGACTCTGAATGGGGTCTCTGGCTCGTGATCTCCGCTATGACCCCACTTCCGGCTGGGAAACACCAGCCTGAACAAGCAGGAGCTGTGTGGAGTCCCATGTGGCTGTCCCGGCTCACAGAAAGGACAGCATGAGACGCGCTGGGACAGAGTCCAGGGGCGGCACGGCTGTGCTGGGGGAGCCGGCAGCCCACGCACCGAGGGTGCTGACCTCACCTGCGCATCCTGAAGCCACAGGGACTGCAGGGTGGCGGGACACAGCTTCTTACTGCTGCCCCCCGTCTTGAGCACCTGCTGGCCCACGAAGGCAGAGGCCAGACGGTGAAACTTCCTCACAGACGGCCCTTCAGGCATCCCTGGGGAGAAATCGGCGGGGGAGGCCACTACTTGCCCTGTGTGCCGGTGCCAAGCTCCAAACAGCCACTTTTTGCACCAACTTTAAGAGCACGTATGGCCACGCTGGGCGTGGTGACACACACCTGTAATCCCAGTTACTCCAGAGGCTGAGGCAGGAGGATCGAGTTTGAGGCCCCGGGGAACTTAGCGAGACCCTGCCTCAAAATGAAAAGGGTGGAGCTCACTGGTAGGCACCCTGGGTTCCAGCCCTCCGACCGCATTAAAACAAACAAGCGTACGTGGCCCACAGGAGCGGCAGTGGCACGGGCTTCTGCAGGGTGAGGCCAGCCCGGGGGACGGCATCCCGCCCAGCCCCTCTGGCCTTCATTCGTGCTGCAAACACCGAAGAGGCACCCACGCTGTGCCAGGCGTCACCCGGCGCCTGCCTACCAGGCGGCCACCTTGCGAAGTGGCCCGCGTTCCTGGTCTGCACCGCGGGCTCCTCCAGGCTTTGCCCTCCGCCCCACTCCTCCAAGCACTCACCGACCCCTTGGGGCTGGACCCCAGGGCCAGCCGCCGGTAGGGGAGGGAGCTCAGAGCCTGCCGGGTGCTGACCTCAGCCAGGCCGCTCCGCCGGAAGCGCAGGTCCGGGCTGACCACAGCTGTCCCTGACCACGGGGCCCTCGCGGTGCCACGCAGGGCGAACCGGCCCGAGCCCGCCTTCTCCGCGCCGGCGTCCCCGCGCCTGACCCAGG